CTTATTTTCTTCTCGAAATTTTCTTCATCGATCTAGTTGAAAAGTAAGCCTGGTCGGCGCCGTTGATAACTCCCACTTTGAAAGTACATTTTCGCCTTCGGAAGGAGATTAAACTCTGCGTTGATGGGGAGGGGAAGTTGATTGACGGAAATTTTCCGTGGAAGACTTAAAAATTTGTTTTAAGGTGTTAAGCCCTCGGATGTTCCAAGACTGAGATGGGCCTACAGTCAAAAGTTTAATATCTTAAATTGCTCCTCCATTAAAGGAGTTTCAATCCCTATTTCCTATGTACACACAGGAGTTACATTTTTATTATTATTTTTTTTTTTTTTACAGGATCGAATCATAGGTTCCCTCAAAACTCAATCCACGCCCATCCATTTATTTTCCTAGTATACATTGAGAGTAGAAGATGGGGTTTGGTCTGCGAGTTGGCGAACTCATGTTGAACCGGCACACGAGCACTACTGGGTCTGTCTTCAACAGCGAGTGAAGACAGACCCAGTAGTGCCCGAGTGCCGGTTCAACATACATTGAGAGGCAAAAAAGTGGCTACATATCTAGTTAACCCAGAAAAGCCATGTGACGTTTATACTGACTCGTGTATATATACAGGGTGAATTGCTACTCGTGCTACAAACTTCTCCAGTAGATTCTTCACCCTAAAATGAACAAAAAAGTTCATATTGTCCATGGTCCGATTCTCAACCATTTCAGAGTAATTTCGCTTTTTATCGATTTTGAAAGATATCACGTCCTGGCGTCGGAAAATCGTGATATCTTTTAATCTAAACATTTCTCTTAAAATCTATAAGCACCGTTGAAATCCCCGTTAATTTTTAGAGAGAATCAAAATCATAATTCCATTGAAATTTTTTAATTTAATTTAATGCCCATTTAGTATGTAATGCTTAAGAAGTTTACAAACAGCTAGAAGGTCAAGGAAGAAAGACCCAAACGTTTTGCCACCTTCATCTTCTTATTGAAAAATTAACGGGGATTTCAACGGTGCTTATAGATTTTAAGAGAAATGTTTAGATTAAAAGATATCACGATTTTCCGACGCCAGGACGTGATATCTTTCAAAATCGATAAAAAGCGAAATTACTCTGAAATGGTTGAGAATCGGACCATGGTCAATATGAACTTTTTTGTTCATTTTAGGGTCAAGAATCTACTGGTGAAGTTTGTAGCACGAGTAGCAAGTCACTCTCAAACATTAGCAATCCTTGAACCACCATTTTTTCTCTTTTTGTCATCAACATCTTGGTCTCACAACCACTAAATAAGAAAATGACGAGTGCGTTGGAAGCGTTATTAAATCAGGTAGTTTTCCTCAAATTTGCTGCCTTCTGAGACTAAAATTAGAAACTCTGGATTACTTTATACACTTTCCGATTTACACAATTTTCCACTCTTTTTGTAGTTCTGGCTGAAATAAAACACAAAAAATTAGCCCAAACATTTTGCCACCGTCATCTTCTTATTGAAAAATTAACGGGAATTTCAACGGTGCTATTAGATTTTCAGAGAAATGTTTAGATTAAAAGATATCACGATTTTCCGACGCCAGGACGTGATATCTTTCAAAATCGATAAAAAGCGAAATTACTCTGAAATGGTTGAGAATCGGACCATGGACAATATGAACTTTTTTGTTCATTTTAGGGTGAAGAATCTACTGGAGAAGTTTGTAGCACGAGTAGCAATTCACCCTGTATATATATCCACAATCAGATCACCCATACCCATATGCAAGACTAAGATGCCAAACACTCATAAAAGCATACACATGAAACGAAACCGCTGGAAAAACATTCAAGACAGAGTCGAGCTTTAGAGCTCGGCCAAATGCAATTCTTTCATACGAAGAGGCGAGACAGATTTGACTACCGTCAGTCTTGCTACTTTAAACAAAATTAACCTTAACCTAACTCAACCTATTCCTAATCCTAACATTAACCATCCCTAATCTAACCCCCCTCTATGCTTAACCTCACCTGTTCCTAACCTTAACCTACTCCTATTACAAATGCTATCTCTTCCTTCATTAATCTTTCCCTAACCTAAACCGCCCATAAGTCTGACCTAATCCAACTTTTCCTATGTCTATCCATAATCCTCTTTAACCTAAACCGTCCCCCAATTCTAAACCTAACCCTATTCAATCTAACCTAACCCAATATGTCCTAAGTGTAACGATAATCCTCTTTAACCTAAACAGTCCCTAATTCAAATTGTAACCCAGGGATACTGGAAGAATGGTTCTGGGGCTAAATGAAACTTGCTGAAATTCTAAGGCTACTTTATTTTACAATATTATGCCGGCTACAATCAAGCCCTCTAGTTAGCAGCTACCTGTGTATGTTTAGATCGTGGCAAAGGGGGGGGGGTAGGCTGAATAGAAATTGCTGTGAGATTTAACATGAAATTTTTGCCACAACTCCTACTAAGATAGGCGCTCACCGATTATTCCTTCAAAGAAAACCCACCAAATGACACGAATTTTATAAAACATTACTCCCTCTGACTACTCCACGTCTACTGACCCCTATTCTTTCCGTTGCTGACACAGCACCTAGTCCCCATTTTGCCAACATTGTTTCTTATCCCATTTACAATATTCATTTCTATTAAACAATATTTTCGTACGTTAAAGCGTTTACACCTCACAATAAATAGTAAGTAGGGGTCGTCGTTGGCCACAACGGTTTAGGCATTGTCAAGGCGCTTATCACTGTACGGTAAAGGTCCTGGGTTCGAATCCAGCGGCACTGCATTCTAAATCGACATTCTTACAAATAGGCTTTTTTTAAAAACACCGGCACCCTGAGGGTTTATATGACCTCTGCTGTTGCGAACCCAAAAAAAGAGAAAAAAAGTAGGGTATTAAGCGAGCAGTTAAACGTTTTACTGAGACGGGTACACGTAGCACCTCGAAATAATATCAACTTTTTTCTTAATATGCTTATTTTATATTGGATAAACGGATAAAATTGTCGATCGATGGACGAAGATTATCTACATCGCAAGCCAAACAGATTATGAAACATGTGTCTAACGGCTTAATTAAAGTGAGATCAATGAGCTGCCGGTCGAAGGGCTTTTTATAGAACGTCCCAACTCGAGGAAAACGTCGGGAACGGCGATGATTAATCGCCTGAGCTTCGGATGTTATAATTTTTGCCCCCCCCCCCCGACTCGGAGGCCCAGAGGCCGTCAAAACTATGCTCAAGTCGCACTCGTCCACCTCATCCTTTCACAACGACATTTCTGTAAAAGAGAAAACCCGAATTCCATCCCAGGGACGATGGAAATGTTTCTATTTGTGCGTTGTTTCGCTTGGTTATTAAGACGGAAAGGTGTTAGCCTCCAAAAAAATTCAACCTTTAAAAAAACCGTTTTTCGAAAAAAATCTGTCCAACCATTAATGCAAGTGTCGAGGTGGATATCTGCGCGAATCCCGCCTAGCAAGAGAAGTTTGCTTTACTTTTTAAAAGGGGCTCACGATCATGACGCGGAATAAAACCTCGAGACTTGATTCTTTTCAAAACAGCGCTGGTGTTTACGAAGGTAAAAATTGTTATTTAATTTTAACAAACAGGGTGATTTTTAACAAAGACATTTTACGAATCTATTAGCTTCCCTCATACCTCGTTCTTTTGTCCACTGACTGAGTTTTTCTTTTTCAAGCCATTTTTTCAGCTTTGTACATCGATATGCAACGACGAGAGAAAGAATGCGGTTTCCATTGCTGATGTGGGACAAGCATACAATCATTCCATAATTATCATGGATATTTTTATGGCTGGAAAAACCATTTCATTTACGTAACCCATTTTTCACGTTACTGCGGAGTGCTATGGGTTTGAATGGTTAGGAGGTTAAGTTAGGTTATGTTGGATTACGTTAGGTTAGGAATGGTTTTGTTAGGTTGGGTTATGGTAGAAACGGGTTATGTTAGGTTAGGAATGGTTATAAAAAATTGAATTAAAAACGGGTTAGGTTTCGTTAAGTATGGTTTATGGTTAGAGATGGCTTATGTTAGTTATGGTAGGTTATTGTAGGTACGATTATCATTACGGTAGTGTTATGTTATGTCAGGAATGGTTATAATTGGTAGGATTAAGGACGGGTTATGTTTTGTTTAGTAGGGTAACGGTTAGGGACTGGTAATGTACGTTACGAAAGGCCAGGGACGGGTTCTGTTAAGTAGGGGGTTTGCTAGGTATAGGGTCGAATTATTTTAGGTTAAGGATGGTTATGGTAGGTAGGGTTAAGGACTGGTCAATGTATGTTAGGTATGGTTAGGATGAGGTATGGGTTATGTCAGGCTAGCAATGGTTATGCTAGTTAGGGTTAGGACGGGTTAATGTATATTAGGTATGGGTAATATTAAACTAGTAACGGTTCTGCTTGGTAGGGACAAGGACGGGTTAGTTTGTGTTAAGTAGGGTTACGTATCTGTTATCGAATATTTTTCCGTGATGCGGTGAATCTATTCTAGTGCGAAGTGCGACTGTATTGTTGCAGAATATATTAATACTATGTTTATTTTTCGTACCTCACGAAAGGATTGAGTTAAAACTTCCAACATGAGATATGTCATGAGGGGCGTTTTTCCGAGTCGGGCCATGCTCTAGAAAATTTTCTCAAGGGGGTAAAAATGAAACAATAAGGAATGTATAAACGGAGTGAAGGACGACACGAGATAATATTATAGTATAAGGGTACTGAAGTGTTTTCGCTCCCCTGGGTTGCCGGTCGTCTGGCAAGACTCCAGAACTCTAGAAAAGTTAATTATTTAAATCCTTCCCCCCCAGTTTATGACTCTTCACGAGGTGGAGCTTTTTTTGGATGCCAACAATTATTTTCCTTCACCACCAACCTGTGGACTCTTAGGTTTTCAACAACCCTTCTCAGGGCTACTACACGTCACAAAAATCACAACTTTAGTATAACCTTGACGTTTAGTTTTAACTCGATTTGTTTTGTTTTAGGTATTAGCCGCGTTGGCGTTAGCGTTAGGCCCTTTAGCAGCAGGCCTCGGCAAAGGCTACAGCTCACCAGCAATTGCGTCCCTTCAAGAGAAACAACAATTTGCCATCCACACCGGGAACTTCACGAATATTTTGACGATCAGCCCTCAACAGGCCTCCTGGGTCGCCAGCCTCTCCCTGCTCGGCGCCCTCTTCGGCGGCATGTTCGGAGGGATCGCAATGAAATTCGGTAGACGGAAAGTACTGCTGATCACTTCAATCCCTTTCTCAGCATCCTGGCTGGTCACGGTCTTCGCTAAAAACATTGAAATGATGTTTGCCACAGGATTCGTAGGTGGCTTTTGCTGCGCCATCGTGCTCATGGTTTCCCAGGTGACTTATCTTTTACATTATCTGATAGATGAGTTATTACATTACAATAACATAATTATACTTCCATCATACTATGAAACCTTCTCTGAAGGCCAAAGTATTTTTAATCACAATGTACGAGGTCTACCTACATGCACATCAGCCTTCTTCCAGTGATATCCAAAATACTCGAAAACCCCTTAGATTCATATCATATTCTTATTTCTCATCATTCCAACATGGCTTCAAAGTTGTTGAGACCATTTACTCTACTCTGCAGAAGAAAAAGTATTGATAGATGGGGGTCTAGCACCAAGGCATTCTTTATAAACTTAAAGACTTCATACCCATTCCTCCCAGTTAGGTGCGGCAACGAGTCAGATATTAGTCGTCCCTGGGGGAGCACCCTTGGTCCAATTCTTAATATCATATACTGCTGACCTACCTATACATCCCAACACTATCATTACCACTCGGTAACACGGCAATTCTGTCCTCTAACTCGAATTCTACCCAAGTTACCTCCAGCATCCGACAACGCATTGAGTTTATCAAAGACTGGTGCCAAAATTTGTTGACAAGACTGAATGAGGGAAAAGTTCCTACCCTTGCCCTCCACTTTTCATCAACAAGGAGCTACCGACTTTCACTCGTTAGTTACTTAGGACTATACCTAGAGAGCAGAATGACTTAAGAGACAACTTAACAGTGGAAACTTAACGACTATGGCCTCCCGAGACTACCTCATCCGTTAATCACTCATATTGAGTTGCCTGGTTTCCCATATGTGTATTTCGAGTGCTGGCCATATGTCTGTTTTGTGGCCGGTTGGAAAAAAAAGCATACGCACGAATTTGTAATATAGTCCACAAACAAATGGTTTAATGAAAGAAGTTGATACACTACCTGGGCATGAGTTTGGTTATGTTGGATTAAGGTTATAGCTAGGTAAGATTCAGGTAGGGACAGGTTATGTTAGGTAGGTTTAGAGACACTAGGGTTCATATTCAGAGCTTATGATAAAAAACATTGTTTAACCTTTTCCCCGCTAAGTTTTAACCTTAAATAAACTTAACATTAAATTAAATAAGCCACTAAAAACATTAAAAAACGGACGAATTCGTAATATGTATTAGATTATTTAATTTTAAAAAAGTAATTTATAACCTGCGTATGAGTTGGGTTAGGTTAGTTTAGGGTTAGATTATGTCAACGTTAGGTTATAGTAAGGTTAGGGACTCTTACCTATCCTACGAAAAATCTTCGCGAAGATTCTTCTCATTAGAAACCTTCCTTTCCAGAAAGTACAAAACATTATCCAATCTCACCAGTTTGGCTTTCATAAACGCCTCAAATGTCACCATGATGTGCAATCTCTTCCTCTCTTGAGCTGAATACTGCTCGGAAGCTTTTATTGATGTGGTTCAGGCCTTTGATAATGTTTATCATCCAGGTTTGAAGTGGTAACTCAAAAGATTTCCCTACACCTACCTCATCCTCCGGTCATACCTGACCGGCCTCCTCTTTCAGTTCAGCCAAGGAACATCTTTCTCTGATATCCCTTTAAGGCTGTAGTAGTAGTAGTAGTAGTAGTAGTAGTAGTTAGAGGTGTAGTATCATTGGTCCCATCCTGATGTGATGACTGTCGGTGGTTAACTAAAGATGCCACTAGGCGTCCTCACTGTTTCAGCTTCCTTTCAGTAGCTCAACCTGCTTACAACTCATCGACTAGATCTCATCCATCATGCACTAATGACGCAAGCCGCATGCACTAGCTACAAGTATCAAGGTTAGAGATGCTGCAAAGAGCATGCGACTCTTCGGTTCATTGGCTTGATGATTGGTTAGGTTCCACAATTGGAAGGAGCTGTGTGGTGACTGCCTGCTGTTAACTAATGTTGCCAATAGGCGTTCAGCAGTGGTTCCTTCCTGGCAGCACCAATGAGCTTGCAGCACTCCTGTATGTCTTCCTGCTTTGGGCAGACTCATCGAAGAGATCTCATCACTCACTAATGAAGTATGCAGCAAGCACTAGCTAATCTGGAAGGGTACTCTCAACAGCTCTAAACTGTACTCATTGTATACGGCTACCCATCTCGACATATTCATTCACATTTTTGCATATAATACTGATATTTTAACCTCCAAATAAAGATCTTCTCTTAACCCATCGCTCCATATAGGCTTACCAACATCCACTATCAAGCATAATAATATTTATGAGATAGATTTATTTATTTATTATGAAATAGATAATAATTTTGTTTGTTGTTGCAGGTTTATATCAGTGAAATAGCTGTGGCAGATATCCGAGGTTGCTTAAGTGCTGTGCTGAAAATATTTGGCCATGTCGGGGTGCTCATAAGTTTCGCTGTCGGAGCTTATCTTGATTGGAGGGAGCTTGCGATGGTCATCAGTTGCGCGCCTTTAGTGCTCTTCATCAGTGTGGCATACATGCCGGAAACGCCCAGTTATTTAGTCTTGGTAGGGAAGGAGCAAGAAGCGGCTAGATCGCTACAATGGTTCAGAGGGCCGCAAGCAGACGTCGGTAAAGAATTGTTGATAATTCGCAATAACGTTCTCGCCGCTCATTCCGATAGATTTAACAACCCAGGCAAACACGGTTTGATTTCCATTTTGAATCCTATACTTATAACCTGCGGTTTAATGGTATTTCAAAGGTTTTCAGGTGCGAACGCGTTCAACTCTTACGCCGTTTCTATTTTCCGTCAGACGTTCGGTGGCATGGATCCACATAGCGGTGCGGTCGCGGTCGCTTTTGTCCAATTACTTTCGTCTTTGTTGTCAGGTCTTCTGATCGACACGGTAGGCAGATTACCCTTACTTATCGCGAGCAGTGTTTTTATGTCTATGGCCCTCGCTGGTTTCGGTTCGTTCGCTTACTACGACAACGTTCACCGAAGCAGGGGGTACGTCGTCGCCCAGTACGATTGGATCCCTTTGCTATGCGTCTTAGTTTTCACGATCGCGTTTTCGATGGGCATCAGCCCGATTTCTTGGCTTTTAATCGGTGAACTTTTCCCCCTAGAGTATAGAGGGCTTGGAAGCGCCCTCGCGACTTCGTTCAGCTACGCTGGCGCTTTTATCAGCGTCAAAACCTTTGTGGATTTTCAAGAAATGTTCGGTTTACACGGCGCGTTTTGGTTTTATTCGGCCGTCTCTATCGGCAGCCTTTGTTTTATCGTTTGTTTTGTTCCTGAAACCAAAGGTAAAGACTTGTCAGAAATGAATTCACGTAATCAAGGGACATAATTAAAACAAACAAAAAATTATCTCATTGACTGTTTAATTTTTTTCTTCTGATTATTGTCAGACAATCGATCTATTCTATAAGGCAATATAAATTGAACGTTAAAATAAAAAAATATATTATTGTACTTAAAAAATCGGAAACAGCCCATATAAGATAGTACATTTTAACAAAACCGTGCCTTTTGCCAGTGTTTCATTATTTTTGATTACTGAAAAAGATATGAGATGTATATTAAATTTTGTTTATGATAGTTGTAGGCTTATAAATTTTAAAAAAATTGAAATACTTTATTTTTCTTAAAGAAGTAACGGGTTATGCATTTTTATTAAAACAAATCATTTTTACTGATTTCGCCCTTTGCTGAACAATTTTCTTTACGGTTATTTAAAGATAGTGTGATGCGGTCAGGTGTGATGTAGGTTTAGAAAAACATTTTCTTTATCGTGCCAACGTTTCGATCTTTATTGAGATCATGTTCACGGCCTGGGATTTATAAACGTTGTTTAAATTATACAAATAGAGAAGTAGAAATTTTAGGTTTAATCAAAGTCTATTAGATTTGATGGACCGATTGACCAAATAAATTCTTTTCAATTAATTAATCTTTAATTAAGGTTTTGGTTGAGATAAAAAATGGCAAAAAGGAGGGAAAATTCGAAAGGTGGGGTTGAGATGGGAAGCTGGTGCCCGAGTGGATCGAAGTATAGCTTAAGTGATAGAGCAGAGGCGTATTTAGCCGAAGGTCGTGGGTTCGAATCCCGCTCATGACACTAACTTTTTTATCTCAACCAAAACTTTAATTAAAGGTTAATTAATTGAATTTAATTTAATCAAAGTATTTGTACTCACACAAAGTGTGTTTTCTGTGTAGATTGCTATGTGTCGTGTTGAAGGTGCCAGTGAGATATTAATGTTTTTTGTTTATATACGTTGATTTTGAAGAAGTGGGGAAGGAAGTAGGGTTAGAAATCCATATTTCTATGAGGAGTCGGCTTCTTTGAGGTGAAAGGAGCCGACAATGGGAAAAAATGGCTAATGTTTTGTCGTTCGGGCCTGGTTAGCCTTTCAGGATTGTAATGATTGTGTGAGGAGTGTAATGATTGTTTTATATGTTTTATTATATGTTTTGTGTGTTATATGTATGGTATTGATGTTGAATTTGATTAATGATATTAGCGTAGCTGCGAATGAGTTTACATGTGTCTGTTGTATAATTAATGCTGTATTTATCTCTGTTGATGTAAACCATTTCTAAAAAGTTACGTTTATGTTTGTTTTGTTCTGTGTGTAATATTTTTGGATTGTTGAAATCGAAGTTGTGTTGGTATTCAAAATGTTGGGTAGCCAGCCAGTGCTGTAATATTTTGTTTGGGTTTTTTGCAGTGCAATATGTTGATTTACCCTCTTATTCAGATACTGGGATGTAATTCCGATGTAAGTTGCCGGAAAATTTATACAGTTGATTTTGTAAATCATATCAGACTTATTTGTAACTGGTGTGGGATCTTTAATTTTGGATGGCAACGACACATCTTCAAAAACACACACTCTGAGTGAGTACAAATACTTCGATAAAACCTAAAATTTCTATCATTGTATAAATTCATTTTCACACCTTACATGTATTTGTACAATTAGAACCATATTTGTAAATCCCAGGCCCTGAAGATGATATCAATGAAAATCGAAAGTTGGCACGATAAAGAAATTGTTTTTCAAAACCTACATCGCACCAGACCGCATCTCACGATCTCTAAGTAATCATTAATTAACGGTCACTAAATACTACACAATTTTCTCTACTTTGTTGTGTTGACCATATATTTGTTGTGTCGAATATATTTTCTAATTGAATTGTATTATTTGGAAGGACAAAAAAAGTACACTGTCGACAGATATTATATTTAAAAAAAGGGCGTTTTTGGTAAGGGTATCGACAGTTTTAAATCTCAAGCCCTCACTGATTTATACCAAATAACCCTTGAAAAAGGGTTAAACTTTCATTTACAATTTTTTTAATATGTCAAAAGACATCCCAATAGTTATAAGACGGTTTGAAAATAAAGAAAACGAGGTTAAAAAGTGAACGTAATCTGTAAAGATAGCTGAGCTTAATTTAGGAGGAAAGAATTATAAAAATTTTAAACCAATGAACAATAATATAATTGACAATAATAATACAATAATAAAACTCAAAAGTACGATTCTTTAAATTAGGTACTAAAATTTTTAAATAATATGAAATTGTTGTTTTAGTCTTCAAGTACTTTTTGTTTTCTCTTTTGTGTCTGCAAAGAATTTAGAAAATTAAAAATTTTGTAAAGCGTATAAAAACTAAAAGTTTTCCTCTAGAGCTTTATATACCATGGCTGTTAATTTAAGAAGAAGACAATACAAAATAGAAGTTTAAAACACGGAAAAAAGTAACTTTAAATCCAAGCTTTCTTCCAGAACCTACGTAGTCGAGGGGGCAAAATTTGAATATACCTAAGTCAATAAATTGCAATGTGTCTGCTAGCGAAAAAAAAAAACTCTTTTTATGAATATTAGACAATAAAACAGGTAATTAAAAGTTTTCTTACGAAAGGATAACAGACAATGACATACTCTGAAAGCTCGCATATTTCAATGGTTTCTTTGATCATGTCGTGATGGCCGAGTTTGATGGTTCGAAGTTTTTGGCAATTGGTACGCCATGGTTCAGGGCCATGATCGAACTTCCTTTGGACAATTTTCCTTAATATGGGCAACTATCCCACTGCCAGAGGATATTTTCTTGTCGTTTAACCGCCTTGCAGGTGAATCGTGAAGATTAGAATGTGTGATGAGATCAAGAAGGCCATGTCGATCTAGAAAACAAGGAGAAAAAAGTTCGGAAGATAGATATTGGTCAGTTGTGGGATCTCCTTCATGGTCTAGAGGTCTTGGTTATGTTGGCTTTTTGTCAGAATCCAAAGCTTTGTCAAAAGATCTCGTGTTAGACCATGATTTTTCCTCTCTAAGGCTGCATAGGTCTTTGCAAGAGGACATTTTCTTGTCTTTTTTCTACTTTGAGGCTAGAATGTCATAGTCATGCGTAGCTAGTCATAGATACGCAGTTGAAAAAAACTTGGAAGGTTATAATTTGATTTGACCAATGAATTAAATAATAATAATTGTATTAATTAAGTGTGAGAGTATAAAAGAAGCAACACAATTTATGAATATTCCAAAATAAAGTGCTAGGTTTTGGTTTAGGTTATTAGGAGCAGGCATTTTTATGACCTAGTACTCCCTGACGAATATGGTCTATTGTGCAATCTCTAGCTCTGCAGATTTTCAGCTGGCATTTTACCAGAATCCAAAGGCGTTGTTAAGGGATCCCGTTCATATCTTTCTTCTTTGTGTAGGCTTCTGCTGCTCCAAGTTGCCTCTGGATCCTGCAGTTTTCAATCCGATGACATATCATTCTAGTCGTAGCATGTCCTAAGTTTAGTATCCTGTTAATCTCTGCGATAGCATTTTTATGGACGTTTTACGTGCAGCCCCATTAAACTAAGTAATTATTTTTAACCCACAAAATGTAGAAGGCCGCGGCTTGACAATCTAGAAGGCACAGGTGAAAAAATGGGGAAGAATATAATTTGAGTCATTGCCGGGGACTTATTCTTATCCAAAGTTCAATGGATCTGGGTTTTTGGCAACTTGTAAGGTGTTCTAGGCTGATAGGTGTTCTGATCGAATTTTCATTGGAAAATTTATTGGCCACTCGTTCCTCTGCCACGTGTGCCTTGGTTTCCAAACTGCTCTGGATTTACCGATGAAGTTGCCATTTGGTCTACCTGGCTGTCCAAGTAGGTGGTGATGCTGTTGTTGGTAATGCCCAGCCTTTGATTCTCCTTGGCACTTTGTTCAATATACAGTCTCAGCTTGAAAGGCAGTGGCACATTGCCCAATGCACATATGAATTCAAGTCCTTGGAGTGATCGGATGGACAGCAAAGGGTCAGCAGTACAGAGATGAAATGGTTACATTTAGATTTATCATTTATTTAATGGATAGATAGGTTAAAACTTTATTGATTTGATGATAGCTTAGTTTTGGTCCAACAAAAGTTTATTGTTATAAAGCGCACTGTTCGTTTTGATACTGAAACAACTTCATTCAAGCAAACCACCCTGGCATGTAAACTGCAATATAATAGAGATTGCAAGTACTTATAAGTAATATGTGTCAGTACAATAATAATTATGATTGAGGTATGTAATTTTCTAAGTCAAATTTCAGTTGATTTTTTCTAGGTTCAGATTTTGCCTCCTCAGTTAATCTTTGTCTAAGTAGACTGATAGAAGTAATACTCTTCTTGTATCTTGAAAAAAATTACAATACACAGCGGATATAATAATTGCTATTGTATAAACTAATTTTTATACTGTTGAAGGGGGGATAACATTTGGAATTGGTACCAAAATATAGTGTTATTTATGTACATAAGTTACGTCTTTCAACATTTAGTCTTTAAAAAAATAAATATTAGTTACCTTACAAAATAAATATATATAGTCCATAACTCATCTTTTTAAAAATAGAAATAAAAAGTTGAAAATAAGACATCAAGATGTTTCTCATTTTAAATCAAAGCAGCATTTGAAACAACCTGCAATTGTATGAAATACATAAATTGATGTTTTTTCCTCGTCAAATTTATAACTCAGGACTTAAAATGCATAAACGAATATTTAAGTAATATGGAAAATGAGAAATTTAAACATTAAATTTAAAACAACGATCCCTGAATATATAATCTAACCAGCCTTTCATCCTAACCCAAATCCATCCCTAACCTAACCTAAATTGTCTCTAAACCTCTCCCTAACCATAAATAACCTTTCTAATCTAAATTACCATAAATTTATGTCTTTTCTCGATAAATTTATAACTTACAATTAAATGGGACATAAAAAGTATAAAAGGTGATTTGATTAACAGGAAAATGAGAAATTTTTATGTGAAGAGATAAAGTGTAATCGCTTTTTATAAAAATTAAAAAAAATGTGAGTGAAGCTCATATATTTTCTCCACCTCACGGAAAAAAATTGATTCATGGATATTATATAATCTAACCCCTTAACACTAACTCTGAGCATCTCCAATTGTAACTCTAATCCTAAGTTTACCTAACCTACCCGATCCCTAACAATACCTAACTTATCAAAATTCTAACGTAATCCACACCTAACCTAACAAAAGTCTAACCTTATCTTTGACCTAAGCCATCCTTAACACCAACTCTAACTCGTCCCTAGCTCTAACGATAACCCTAACTTAACCTAAATCCGTCGCTAACTCTAACTATAACCTAACATTAATTTACGTTATCCCCTGTCAAATTTATAACTTATAAAGGATGTAAAGTGTATAACTGATTATTTGAATAACTTGGAAAATGAAGGGAAATTTAATATAAGGTTTCTAACCTAACCTCTCCTAAACTGTAAACACAACACTACCTACCCTATCTAACTAACCTAAATCCACTCCTAACCCAATTCTAATGCTAACCCTAATCTAACTTAACAAAACCAAACCTAACCCATTCCCAATTTTAATTTAACCGTAACCATTCCTAAAAAAATTGTATATCGAGCCCAAAAAACATATCCATGTTATTATTCTTGTCAATACAGTCTTAACCCATATTAAAAAACATATCTTACTAAACAATTTGTTACTAAACAATTATTTGTTAATTCTTATACATATCTCCTATAAAATTTGTCAATGTATAACTCGACATATCTTTTTTAAACTTAACTTACAAATCATCTGTAAAAAATGATCACTAGATTTCCTTCACTGTTCATATAAATTATTTAAAAAATTACTTAACAACAAAATAACACAATTTGTGTTTTGAATAGGTTCAATAGTTTCAGTATTTTAAAGTAAAAAAGAAGAAAAAGAAAAAAAAAATCGTGAAAAATATACATTTGTATAGTTTTAAACTTATAGACTGCTTCAATATTATTGAGGTTAATAATGATAGATGAATATTATCTTATTGATTTGTCCATCGAATATATTCCTGCTTTGAAAATAGAGACTCTTTTCTTGTTCAAATTGACCAAATTTTGAAACGAACACCGTTCAAACTTTGCAAAATGAAATAGTTCAAGATTATAATTGTATGATTATAGTCAGCTAGTTTTATTTATAATTTACGACTGTATTTCTTGGTACTGTTCAACAATCTTATTGTAATCTTAGCAGTCTTGTTTAAAATGACCTGGTTGCATGCAATACTTTCAAACAAAATGATCATCAATCAATACAAGTCAGGAATGTTAAATGTTTATTTAGATTTAAATTAAATTAAATTTAAAAAGAAATTAAATTTTGAAATGTTTTGCATGTTTCTATTAATATCAGATTTGTCAAAATGAATATTTTTAAATGATTGGCCTTAGTTTTAATTTGTATGTAAAACAAATAGAACAAAAATGGTGCAGGTATTATTGTTAATTTTAAGGCAATGTTTGCTTCATACTATTTTATAACTTTGCAAATATAAACCGAACTTTTTGTTTGTTGTCAAAAACAATAAAAATTGTAAAATTGGCTAAACTATATGTAGAGATTAAGCTAATGTTTATAAATAGGAAACTTTTTTAGGATTGTGCTCCTTTATCTGAACTATATACTTGCATAGGTGAACGATTGTTTATAAATTAGTGCCTGTAATAAAAAAAAATAAAACTTCAAAATATTTAATCAATTCTGGAATGTAAAAGGAATAAATTTATTGAATAATATTTGGCCTTGATTCAAAAGTATGAATATAATATGTGTGTGTGTGTGTGTACAATAAAAAAGCACGCGTACACATGTATATCTTCTCTTGCTTTTTAGAGGAAAAAAGAATTATGCACCAATTAGCTTTATATTTGTCTCAAAAAGTAATCATGTGTATTTTCTGTGTTGAAGAAATTTAAATGTAAGCCTAGTATGTATTTTGGGAGAAATTCTTTTTGCAAATTGTAACATGTTTTTAAGCTATAAACTGTAAACGCTACTTCAATGTGTATACTTTCGACAATAAGTGAACTCGACAAAGATTAAAGTCCATGCTGTGAATGAGTCAGTAGGTGTAATACTGCAAATGTCTTCCTGGTGTGATGTACTTTTGTATATAGCAAATGCGTATAAATAGTTGTTCAATCAAATATTTGAAAATGTTTTATTTATCGAGCGTTATCATTCAAAATTTTCAACATTCATTTAGACTTTAAGATTCAGAAATATGTGTTCTTTTGACAATAGAAATTGTATAAATAATTTATATAAACTGTATGAATTTGAAAGAAAAATAAATGACAATACATCAATAAATTATTGATTGTTTGAGAAATTGATGATTTTTTCCTGAACACCATTACGTGCAAATAGCCCAGCCTCAAAGCGAAGATGGTAAGTCTCACTGCATTTGTTTTTACAATGATTAGGAGAAAGTGATCCCAGTTAATGCCAATTAAGGTCTTCTTTCTGGTGTGGGTTGTATTGATTAGGATATTCCTCAGGGCTTGCACATCGGGCCAATTGTTGTGTTGATATTTTTCAATGATGCTATTAGGGTTATTAAGAATAATCGTTTAGCAGTGATTGATGATAGTTTAAAACTGTTTAAGGAAGTGGGATGTAGGAGTGATCGCACTCTTCTTCAGGAGGTCCTGATTGCATTTGAGAACTGGTGCTGATTAAACAAGTTAGGCCGTAATGGTGCAAATTGCAAATTTATCTGCTTCTCCATGTGTAAAGCTAGATTCCAATAACAGTAACTTTCACTATACTGTTAATGGAGATGCTATTGAGAAAGTCACAAAAATTTCTTATCTTGGTGTTATTTTTAACTCCAACTATGATTAACGTGACCAATATGAAGGCATCATGAAAAAAACCAACAGAAATCTTGGTTTTATTAAATAAATAACTGCGGACTTCACCAATCCCTTCGCGATCAAACTCCTCTATCGGTCCCTTGTTAGAAGCCATTTGGGATATGCCAGTGTGTTGATTGGTTTGATGTCAATCAATGTGATGTGGATAGACTGAGAGTGTGCAATGTAAAGTGGTGTTATATTTAGTGTTCCAATCTGGCTGTCTTCAAGTGGGAGACTTGTATGTGGTAAGCCGTTGGGCTGGATACTCTAAACCAGCATACAGTTGCTGGTTCGCTCATTTTTTGCTGGACAGTTCTCATTGGTTTAATTGATGTCCCTAAGGTGGTTTCCTCCTTTCATTTGAATGTTTCAAATTGGACCTTAAGAAACTTTAACTCTTTCATGTCCCTTTTCATAGGACTAGTTATGGATCTTCTGCTTGTATTCCTCACCTAACTCATTTTCTCATAACTCATCAGATACTGCTGATCCATTCTTTAACAATCGCAATGTGTATAAATGATTAATTTTTTGTTGGTTAACTTATTCAGACTCAATACTTATGAAGGCCACTATTTGGAAATAATTTTGAATATGTGAGCTCAAATATGTTATTCGTGCCATCTTGTTCTTTCATTAGTTTTTTTTATGCCTTTGTTAAAAAAAAATCTTTACAAAAGATCTATAAAATACAATAGACTCTTTACCATACACTAAATTCTTAAAAACCTAATATATAAATTTTATATATCGAATTAAATTGGGAATAAATTATATTAAGGGAAAATAGATGAAAATGAACCAAATGACTTAAAAACTCGATCAATGATGTCACGAATGGGGAGAAACCTTCGGGCTTCACTGAGGTTTGGCCGTGGCACCCCGCACCTGTCAAAATGTCAAACTTCAAAGTCAACCGACCTGTTGATCATTGATCATGATTCATATTATCGTTTATCATAATTGGTAAGTTACTAAGTTATAATGACATATCAAATTTACCCTTTGAGGTGTTAAGTTTACTAGTACAGTCTACTAAGTTCGATACACATCTAGTAGAAGACGCACAATTCAGATTTTCATTACAATTAAAAAACGAAAAGAAACCGAAAATCATGTTCGATTTCTTTGTATTCATCCAAAAACAATGTGAATAAACATCGGGCAGGTTTATAAATAGAACTTATCCACTGGCCTGGCGTTTCTGATGAATGTAGCCACAGCCAGGACTTGGTTAGTCTGTCCCTACCTTCAGATATGTTTCATTACAACAGTAAAATATGGTTTTCAATCTATAAACGTTGGATATTGGAGTTAGGTCTTCTATAAGGGTAGTTGAGTGAACTATGATGAGCCGTCAATTCTTGAACTTTCACCGTGGTTACTTGACACTGTTCGAGCTGTTTTATGTGAAGAGTCGGAGAGTTTAGGAAATGTTCTTCAACCACTGGTAACATATGGCACAAAACAAGCTGAAAATCCTCCAAAGACTGCCAACATAAAAGGTGCATAATTATCCCATAACAGTGATGGAACTGCAGTCGTTCTCCCACTGTTGCACATTTATGTACAAACGGCGGCTTTCTGAGATCCCAACAGACTCCTGAGATGCAAAGAAACAAAACCAGATCAGGAGAAACCATCACAAAATTACAGAAAAGGTTAAAATAAATCAGATGGCTATAACAATGACAAAATGAGAAGAAACCTCAACTTTGACAGATCCTTCTAAGTGATCATACATAATAGAGTTGGATGAAAGGCAACTGCAAATTTCAGAAAACGCTCCTAATATGGTATACTGATGGATCAAAGATGGAGCAGGGAGTAGTATGGGTAAAGGGACTGAATACATACGAGCTGTAGTTCATGCAATCCAACTGTGCAAAGGAGTTGACAAAGAAGGAAATTAAAGCACAGATCTACTTTCAGACAGTCAGGCAGCTATAAAAGCACTAAATGCATATATTGTTAGCTCCAAATTAGTCTGGGAATGCCTAAATTGCTTAATGTCCCTAAGAAAACACAAGGTTACCTTGAGGTTTCATGACCTGAATGAATATAAAAAAAGACCAATAGGCTGACCAACCAGCCAAAAAAGAAGCACATTTAGGTGCACCGGAGTGTTCTAAAGTTGTAGCTGGAACAATGGTTTAAGAAAGAAAAACTCACCTGGGCAAAAGCCATAAATCGTTTAAAAAGGAAGGCAAAGGAACTCCTCTCTCTGTCACCCTTACACATTTATGTACAAAGGGTTCATCGTACTTTCGGATAGTCAGGCAGATATAAAAACACTAAATGTGTCTGATTTTAGCAACAAACTAATATGGGAATGCCTAATGGCCCTAGGAAACACAAGGTGACCTTAAGGTTCCAGGGCATGAAGATATAGAAAGGAAATAAATAGACTGACCAACTAGCCAAAGAAGCCCTTTCACCCATGGGACCTCAACCACAACTGGGCGCAACAGAAAGTGTGCTAAAAATATAGCTTGAAAATGGCTCCTGAAAAGGAGGGAAAACTCATAAGGTGGGGTCCGAGTGGATCGAGGTCACTACAGCTCAGGTGGTAGAGCAGCGGCGTATCTAGCCGAAGGTCGTGGGTTCGAATCCCTCTCGTGCCATTAGCTTTTTTTTCATCTCAACTAAAAACCTTAATTAATTGAGACGTAGTAAAGTTGGTTGAAATATTTTTTAGCAAAAAATAATGTTGATATAAAATGTTTAAAAAAACGAGAACATTGTCCTTTGCATGGTTTTTATGTCGATATTAATATCTATTATAAAACATTAATTTAACGACATATTTGATGACTGATAACTTATTTTTATAGATTTGGCAATGTTGGGTTTGAGTGCAGTGAGAGTAAGTCTAAAAACAAACAATGATTTTAAGGTGTATTGGTCTGGCGTGCAAATCGCCGACTGGGTGTTCACAACAGCCATCCCACTTTTTACAAATGTCAATGAAGAGCAAATGGCACATTTAAAAGATATCGGCAATAAGTTTGAAACATGTGAATGCTTGAAAAAATTCAACATCTCGATAATCGCCCAAGAATTTAATAACAATTCATCTAAATTAAAAAAATATACTATTAAGGGTAAAATCAAGAATATTTGGAAAATTTATGATGTTGAAGAAGCGCTCAAAGGATTGTTGAAAGATCCTTCAATATCTTTGTCTAGTGCAAACAATGAGGCTTGTCATGTCTCTCTACTTGATGGATGTTACTTTTTAATAATAAAATTGGGGACTTTAAACCTGTTGACGCTTGATGATGCTGTTCTGCTCCTCTACGGTGCAAGCGTGCCTACCGATCTCATTGAGCAAGGTCTTCCTATTACCATTGTCTCGACACCTTTTGGAATTAAAAATTTGTTCAACTCATGGTCTTCTGGAATTATCAGCAATGTTTTGGATGAAAAAAACAAAAAAGTTCTACTTACCGATATAAGATTGGCACCATCTTGCGAAGGCTCACCTATCTGCAGGTAATACAATTGAAATAATGAAGGTGAAGACTTAATATACTCAAAATAATAAAGAACATATTGCACGAGCGTGCTACGATCCCCAAATTAAAAACAAATCATATAAGTAATTTTTTTTCTAGAGTTCAGATGTCACAGGTTAAAGATATTGTTGGACTTGTACTTACCCCTTTGATCATAGATAATAATGAATATTCAGGCTACTCACTGGGTGTACCAACTGTTGAACTAGTCAATTCACTTTGTAAAACTATTTTTCCTTATATGAGTTTTCTTTGGCTTGATAAAGAATTAGACAGATTGTCTGGAAAACAAATCGAATGGCAGACTGTTTTGACTAATACCGGTATGATTGAATGATTATTCACTTAAAACATTAAGCGGCTTACATAGAATCGAACGCTGTTAATGATAAATTTGTTGAATTTCCCTTTTCACCAGGTTTTGTTGAAAGTGTTGTAGTTGTGAGTGATCAAACCTCATGGGCTACTGGTGTTATTGTAGATCAAGGATTAATTATAACATCCGCACATATTGTCAATTATGTAAGTAAATACTTTAAAGTATTTCATTTATTTAATTAGGGATGTAGAGTTTACTTATTGATTCAGGGAAACTTGTCTAATTCTATTGTGGTAACAACACACGACAGCAAAAACTTTATTGGTGATGTCGTGTTTTCAACATCTTCAGATAATGAAATAGATTTTGCCGTATTATCCTTTAACCCTACAAAGAACTCTTACAAGAAGATTGAACTGGCATCAACCCCTCCAAAGTTGGGTAAGTTGAAACCTCACAATTTTGTATTTGATTAAAAAATATTTTGTTTTTAATGCATCTCATGTTTCCATAACTTGTTGTAATGTTCTACTATGAAGTAATCTGTTTAGAATGTATATCACTTTTAAATCCACTATTGATAATCGGGATAATATTGTTTCAGAAAGTAATATAAACATTTGCATATTTTCTTCAATTCATAGTAAAACATTGAATCATTGGGTCTTAAAGATATCGCTTACTTTTTATCCAGTGTTCAAGATTGCCGCTTCAGGAAGATTTCGATGGTCTTGGTGAAGGTGGTGACAGAGGAATAAATGTAGGTTTCATCTTGGCAGGTTATGCTTCTAACCTAACCTAATATGTACACCCATGTGGTTGCAACTCTGGTAATGCAACAAAGGAAAGAAATTTGTGTATTGTCCCCAAAAGCATATCTATGTTACAATGTCACTTAGGTCAAGCTGACAATTCACTATTAGATAAGATTATATGTAGTACTGTTTTAAATGTTTTTTTAAAAATTTTTTTATTTGGTATAATTAATATATACAACCATTTATGAACAAAATAATTATTACATCGTTAACTTTATGTACAAAACTTATTTTCCCTTGTTATATTTTTATTTTTGCACTGCACAAGAATTCATACAGTTTATTGTATGTCGTTTTGGTGAATGAGGAAAGAAGAATTTCGTAGTTATATCTTCTCCTAAGATGCTACTTCTTTCTTCTTTGTATCTTTTGCATCTCATTATGATGTGCTGGAGATCTTCAACACAACCGCACACTTGGCATTGAGGTGAATCCTTTTTCCCTATCTTATTGAGATAGTTGCCACATAGCCCATGATTCGTCAGCAGTCTATTTATGGTCATGGTCTGCACCCTGTCGTAGTAAGTTTTAAATGTTATTTTAAACAGTTGCACATTATCTCTGCTACCTGGAAAAACATTGAACCATGGCGTACCTTCAAGATCTCATCAATGTCTTGTCCAATTTCACAGAACCATGCCGAATATCATTGAAACCTTGGTAGTCTTGGTGAGGTTGGTGATTAAGGAATAAATGAACAGCTGGAAGGTTTCACCTTTGTAGGTGTTGTTTGGTGTTGCTGGTGAAAAACGTTATTAAACTTTGCTCGGAAATAGCCAAAATTTACAGCAGATCTTAGGGGATCATCCGCACTATCACACTCGTTTTTACATCCATTGTGTAGAAAGAAAGGTGAGATTTTGAAGGTCCCATGGACTAATCTATCCCTTACCTAACCTAATACAACCCATGCACACTCTCCCCAATAATGTGTAACCAATGATATGAAAATGGTGTATCCAGCACTAAAATATCCATTTTACAACTTCACTTAATACACTAAACAATCCACTAAGATTGTAGATAGTATTAAAGAAACCTAAACACTCACATATTTCAAAACCTCATCGAATCCACCAGGGAAAAAGTTTGATGGTCTCGGTGAAGGGGGTGATGGAGGGAGGAGTAAATTAGCAAAAGTTTCATCTTTGTAGGTTATATTTAGTGTTATTCTTAACAATATTTTTAAACATTGTTTGGATATGACCAAAATTCACACTGCGTCACACCAGTTTTTACATACATTTGGTAGAAAAATGGGTTTTTGAAGGTTCCCAAGTATATTTAAAACTAACCGTCTATAATCCACAACCCCGCCTAACCTAGCCTAACTCAACTGAATGTGCACTCCAGTAATGCAAAATGATGACACGAAAATGGGATAAATAGAAAATGTTTCATCCGGTGAAAGTTATGATGTGCATTCAAGAACCCACATTGCCTTACCGAACCCACCAGGGCGGTGGTCTTGGTTAGTGTGGTGGTGTAGGAATAAATCAATAGCCAAGAAGGTTTCAATTCCATAGGCTTTGTTTAGTGTTATTAAACAATGGAAATAACCAAAATTATGCTGACTAAGCCACCCACCCTGATTAGCAGTTTGGCAAATAGGTGACATTGTTAAAGGTACCCATTGCTATGTAAACTAACCTTGTCCCTGACCCTAGCCTAACCAAACCTATGCGCACTCAATTATTATATATGTTTCAGGAGAAAACGTTCTTGCAATAGGATTTTCTATTTTACTATCTCCAAAACCGAATATCAGTGTTGGAATTATATCCAATGTCGGCAAGCTCCTGACAAGTTCTTGCACCGTACAAAGTGGTATGAGTGGAGGGGCGCTCATTAGAAGTGATGGTAGCCTTCTTGGCATTATCCAATGCAATTTGAAGGCCGACAACTTATATCCAAATATAAATTTCTCAGTTCCAGTTACCTTTTTTGGACCTTCTTTAGTATCATACCTTGAAAGTAGAGGTATGTGTTAGTGTTAAAATTTGACAAATATTACATTTTAAACAATATCATTACTGGGCTCCCACTTGAAAAACAGTTATTAAGTGTTAATAAAAGTTTTTTCTTCTTTTTTTCTATGAAAACCTAACCTAACCTTACCATTCCTAATTTTATCTAACTTATTAAGCCAACCTTACCATTTAACTTAACCCAAACTAGCTAGTCCTAGATTAAACATAACCCTATCTAATCTAATCTGACTCATCTTATTCTCATTTCCTAGAACTGTAAAAAATTGTATATACATCTGAAAACAAAAATATTCCTAAAATTACATTATTCAGTTTGTAGAGTCAAAAGGAAATTTTACAAAATTCATTATATAATTCATAAATAGTGTGTTAATTAAGTAATACTTAAAACAGCCTTTTCATTGTACTATTTATCATAACCTTTCTATTTCATAATTTTAGATGCCAGTTGTTTCTACAAGGGGATTGAGGAAAGAGGGAAGAGTCTTCCAAAGATACTTGGTTCAAAGCTATGAGATTTGAACGTAAAATACAGGGTAATATTGAAATGTATTTCTGGATTAATCTCTGGTCATACTATAAATTTAAGTTATGGATTTTATATTAATTAAATAAAAAAAAGGATATGCCTTAACAATTTTATCATTGTTAATTAAATTCTATAATACACTCCCCATTTTAAAAAAAACCTTGAGATCTTTGTATTTTTATGAGAACATCTAGTACATTTGTCATACTCATGAAACTTTTTTGTAGAAAATCCAAGTGGCCTGGTGGTATGTTGACAAAACCTCAAAAACTGCTCTCAAAAGAGTTTCTTTTGAGATTGTCCTAAATGTTTCTGATTGGGCTAAGGTCTGGACTTCTTTCGTGCCACCCAATGTTCAATCTGACTTTACCTCGACCGGCCTCAATTTGTTGTATAGTATTCGCAGAGTGACTAACATGTTGCACCTTACTTTGTTTCTCAGTTCGGCTTTGATAAGTTGGCCCAATCAGATTATTCTGCAGATCATTTATTGCAGGGATAATAATTTCTGCCCAGATTGGATGACCAAAATGTCAGGTGTCTTTAGTAGGCTATATAATGAAGAAATAAGTAAAAGGAGGAAATTAAAAGAAAGAATAAACTCACCTTCTGATGTTGTTTCATATCATAATGAGGGATACAGGGAGGAATAAAACGGAAGAGAGAGAAAGATGAAGATGGGAAAAGGAATGGGAGACCCTTTACCTCAGCACACACAAGTTAGAGCTTCAAGGGGTGGACTTGTCACAATGATCAGAAGAGAATTTATAGAAAAAATTCTACCTGACTAGCCTGCTGTAGTGGCATCCTTTTCAAATGTGATCCCTTCTTTAACGGGTTAACCTCCTGCTCACCTACTTTGTCATACTCTTCCATGAATTCTTTTCCACCATCATTTTCATTTTTTATAGTGTACTTCTTAATTTTCGATCCCATGAATATTGATGTGTTGATTGTCCACGCCAGAAGGACCTAACCTTAGCCATACTCATTTTATCTTAATGTTAAAATGGAGAGAAATTAACAAAAGGTAAATACTGACTGAAAAGGTCATTCAAACCAAGAAAGACCTTGATCCTTCATTTATTGGTAAACATTGATTATAATTATATAATTAATCCCCAATGTCTCTCATGGAACAAATAATAGTATTATAAATAAAATTAATAATAAAAATAAAAAAGTCCATGTTAAGGTGGAAAAAGGGGTCTATCATCATCCAGGAAAAAGCACTAACGAGCCTAACCTAATTTTATCACCTTAACCGAACCATTTCTAACTCTAACCCTACCTAACCTAGCCCATCTTAATCATTTCTAACCTAACCCAAATCTGACTATGACCCTAACTTAGATCCCTCCCTAACCCCAACCACAACCTAACAATTAAAACTCATATTTGTATTGTAAAGTGGTTCTGACCCCACATCCGCGATACCCAACTGCTAGTTGGATGTTAAGACTATATGACAAAAATTACTTTCCTTACTAAGAAATAACGAGATTTGTAGGTTTTAGTGTTACTTTGAGGAGTTATTTGAACCTGCATTCTCTATAACGGTTATACCTACCTATTATTATTCTAATTACAAAAAAATCGTAAAATTGATTTGTAAGAAATTCAGTATGAAAATTGGTCCTTTACCATTCTCTCGGGGCAATCATAATGACAATTTGTTTCATAAAAAATGAATGATATTAAAGATGGTCACTTACAAATGCCATGAATAAAAACAATGGTTGTGACAAAGAACTTATGTTATTTGCTCTTTTTATTTTATCTCTTTATATTTGAATATTACTTTCCTTAGTTATTTCATAGTTGTGATATTTTGGATTGTAAATTTTTTTAATAAAATGTATTTTCGTAGTTTCATTATATCCTTTTAAGCACACTTAAATCTTATTAATTATTAGTACAGAAATTTTGGTCGACTTTTTGTTGTAACACTGACTGGTTGTAATAGCATGTATGTGCGCCTATCAATATTTTTTGGGGTGTTTACTGTGAAGAGTTCATTTGCATTATATCACTTTAACATTTTAACCTAAATTTTTTTCCTATCCTATGTATTCTAGGACAGAGGCATGCAACAAAGTTAATTGAAGAGCCATTGCAGAAACTAACAGCAGAACTAGTAAACCTATGACTTTTGGACAGACTTTGGAGGCAGCAAAAACAAGCCTGTGCAGATATTGCCAGAAGGAAGAGGACACAGTAGAATGCCGGTTGAGATTCCTATTGGTTGAGGAAAAACACAGGCCTGAAGTAGTGGAAGCCCATACCAATGCTTTGTGATCTGGTAAAAAAGTTTCATTCTCAAAACAATGATGGTGATTGCACAAAAGGCCAATATTGGTAGCGGTGCGCAAATTCATAAAGAGGTTCCTTCTTTTAACATTTAACCCTTTAATCTAACTTATACAAATCATCCCTGATCCTGAAACCCTACCTAACCTGCAAAATATCAGAAAAACCTGTGCAATTGTCATGAAGAAACAGCGGATCATGTGTGATTTATCCTGACAAAGAGGCAATGATGGAGATTGCACAATATTGGTCATGGTTCGCAAGGTCATAAAGAGGGCAATTCCTTTTAACCTCAACCCTTATATTATTTTAAGATTGTTAATAAATATAAAAAATACAAACACTTTTATTGTACATAAGTACATAGTGTGGATATTGTACAAATATAATCTTAAAAATTAACTCAGCATTTTATTCAACACTAGGCTGATCTTGTTCTTCTTCTTCGTCATCATCATCATCGGAGTGTAAATCCATAATATGTTTTTCTAATACAGTCAGACCTCTATTTCGTAACGCCCTGTTAAATCTTTTGCCAATGTCGTCACCAAAAGTTGTGTTAATTCTGTTTTGCAGTTCTTCAATGCTTATCTTGTGCTGGATTTCAAGCTCTCTTAATAAGAGATTGACTGCCAATTTAAAATCCTAGATTGTAAAAAAATTATACTATTATTATTACATATATTTTTTTATAAAACTTTTTTTAACTCAGTGTAATCAACTGAATCTCTTGTTATGCTCGATTAGAATGAAGATCAAGCGACTAATTAAAGATAGAATATGTGACCAGAAATTCGGACACGGGTGTGAGCGAATTGGGCCATGTCCGCAACATAGGCAACAGTTTTGACCGGGTTAATGTAAAAGCTATGTATTGTGATAAATATGTTGGCGAAGGTCTTGTATGTAAATGTACTGTATCTGGTAATATAAATAGTATATAAAAAGTGTAATTGTTATGTAGTAGTGATTCTATGCCACTATCTCAACAAAAGCGACACCTAGTGGAGAATAATCAAGCTACAGCACAGTTCAAGGCACAATTTTTATTCTCTTTTCTACTTGTGTTACTTTTCTACTTAATTATTAGAATTAAGATGTGTTCAAAATTATATTGTAAAAGCTCTGTAAAAATGTAGAAGGGCCAATTACACAATATATCTTTTAGGACGCAGTAGAAGAAAGAACACCAGAACCAGTGATCCATGGAAAAAAACAACTTACCTAACCTTACTTGAACTAACCATAACCCTAGCTAAGCGAACCTAACCATTTATGACTAAAACCTAACCAAAATCCATCTTTATCCCTAACTGTAACTTAAACCTCAAAGAATTAGCCTGGGAGCAGTAGAGGAACTTCGTAAAGGTGATTCAACCTCCCAGTGATATAAACTAAAGAGAACACGAAAAGTGCTCAACTAGCTCAAAGGTTGTCCATTTTCCAGAGTGCGGAAATAAAGAATGGTCAATAACATAATAGATATTTTAGGTTGCAGTAGAATGAAAGGAGTCTATCGTCATCAGAGACACAAGGGAAAAACCCTACCTGATCTAGCCATTTTTAACCTTACCTAACCTTTCTTAATCCTAATATGTCCCTAATTCTTACCTTCAAAGCAAAGGAAAGGAGACTATCGGCATCAAAGATAAGGAGAAAAATGAACATGAAAAAAATAGTGTATCAATCCAAAAAATATCCTTGTTAATATAAAAATCGTGAAATCACACCAAGGACTCGATAAAGTCAAACTTCAGAAATTGTATTGTAAAAGATTTATTGTATTATTCACATTTAATAATTTGTTAAGTTGGCACGTTTATGCATAGATGGCATAGTAAAGAAATCAGCTCTGACAGATATTTCAATTATTTCTTTTCTCACTCTTTTGGTCAAAAACTAAATTGCATAGAATTTTAGCACTAAGCAGCACATGCGTTGTGGAGTGAAGTTAAAAGCGAGCATTCCAAATTTTAAGAAATAACAACCACCCAAAAACATTGGCTAATAGATTGTAAGATATTCATGCAAAGAAGTTAACAAACATGAAAAACCCTATAGAAAAATGAACGATCTTTTCACATTCAAGAGTATATCATCCTAGTGATTTCACCCAAATTAAAATATTTGATACAGAAATACATATCTGACATCAATTGTTACAATTTTAAGAATAAAATGAGCTCTTTATATACTAAATTCAAGGATAAGGAAAAAAGTTGAATTTGTCGAATGTTGTTTATAGGCTTTCGTGTAATGAATGTCCAATCAAATACATTTGGTCAAACAAAACAGAAAAAAAGTTATTTAATTAGCTATTGGTTTACTATTAATTATTACTTCTATTTTTAATTTTTTTCTTTGTGCTAAGACACTTTAGAAGAAAAAAAGAATTTATGGTCATGTTTCTGATTGTGGCAATAAATCCATTAATGGTACTATTAAAACACTCAATATCAATATCAAGTAGGCATAAATTTGACTTTTCGAATGTTGAAATAATTGACACTCTCAATTACTCAGAGGAATACAAAAATGTTCTACATACTAAAATGGAAAATAATAATGGTAACATTCATCCATATACTATGGGCTTAAGTTCAATTTATGAAGGCTTTATTAATTTTAAAAAGAGGTCTTTGATAACGAGAGGAGAACCTCAGGGATAAGGTTGTAATCCTGATACAGTCCTTGACAATGTTAGTACACAGTTGGTCTTGAAGGAAATGTGAAATCGCCTGCCAAAAAACTTAAATATGCCAATCTGCAGACATATTTAAGATTGTTTTGTAAGTTCTATAGATTTATATTGATTGTCAAATCAATTGTACAAATATGTTTTTCATAATGTGAAATTAATATGTCCTGATGAAGTCCTTAAAATAGGTCGAAAGCTTGGCGGCAACAACTGAATTTGTTTCTTTCTTCAAGACCATACCTTGATCTAGTTTGTGAATAATTTGTTGGCTTAGTATATACATATAATCACATTTACCCATTGTTCCACATGTTTCTCCTTCATACCATGACTCGTCTTGATGGCATTTTCAAAACGTTCTTTGGCCCTCAGATACTTTTGATCACCGTGCTTTATACCAGCCAGTTTTTCCAAAAGGTGCGCTTTTTCATTCATACGTTTCAATTTGTATTTGAGCCAGTCAATTTCTGATAAAAGTTTAGCCACGTACTAAAAACAAAACAGGAAAACCAAATATAATATGATGCACATCTATTTATATTATTAAATGTAATAAAACGTACATTGTTTTCTTTTGGTGATTGCCTTTTAGGGTAAACAACTAACCGTGGTTTTTTATTTAAAAGGGCTTTCAAATGTTTCACTGTTGCTTCCAAATGTTTCCGTTGGTACATGAATTCAGCGTTTGTTTTTATCTCCCTTCTAATATCCTCTTCGGTCTCAGTAGAGACATATGTCTGATACATTTTCTGAAAACTTTTTGTTTTAAATCATGTATGACTTATTTTTGTGTGTGCTTACCAGTACACTTTCATTGAGAAGTTTGGGTTCAAAAGCGACAGCTGCGCAGGTATGAATGGCGCTCTTCATCTTCTTGAGTAAGTGGACAGCATCGTCTCTCCTCTCCCTCAGTATTTTTAGCTCTTTGCTCAGCCCCAGGCATCTTTTGGTCATGCCTTCACCAATTTTTTTCAGTTGAACAATAATAGAGTTTTTCTTGTCTAACTCAATCTCTAACTGAAATAAATTTTATTTTGAAAAAAAAAATTCACATTAACTTATCTTCCTATAAGCATACCTCGTTGTAAAGATCAACCATTCTTTTATAACGTATTTCAAGAGGTTCAAGCTTCTCTTTGAGAGTATCAATTCTGATGTCTCTGACATATTTTTCCTTAAGAAAGTCTTCTCTGTTTCTGTTTGCTTGGACAACTAATTCATCTTTTTTCTGTATAACCCATTCCCTCTCTGCCACTTCTAGTTTCAAGTTATGAATTTCCTACAAAAATAATTTATTTATTAAGAAAGTTTTTAAATTAAAGATCAACAGTTGGAGGTGATAGTTCATTATAGTTTCTTAAGATAGATCTAAGGAAAGTAGATCGGGACAGTTATGATTCCAGTTCAGTTCATTGACAAGTTTCACCAAATTTAACAATCCCAGAGGAGTAAAGATTGAAATCCTTACTGGTTTAAGGACAGCATTCTACCAAGATAAGGAAAACTACAGCTTTTTATGTAGGTGTTGATTAGCTTCTTTAGGGTTAGATGACTTAAGAAATGGAATACTTCACTCAGTGGGATTGGAAGTAAAGAAGGGTCAATTCCACTAAAGAACTTTTAGGTCACAGTGAAAGAAAGGAGTCTATTGTCATCAGTTACTCCAGGAAAAATCCAAACCTAACCCGTCCCTAACCAAACCATTTCTAACTTAAACTAACCCTAACCCTACAACACAATACATGAACGTTTTAGTGCTAAAGAAACAAATCCTTATAAATCCATATGGAAAAGAACCCTAACCCTTCAAAATCATTCCTAACCTCAATTAACACCAATCTGTCTCTAACCAAAACCCTAATCCTAACCGTAAACTTTAAACGTTAGCCTGGATGTGATAAGCAACTTCAGAAAGGTGACAGAAAGCCTAGGGAAATAATCAAAGAGGTCCCTGGAAATTGATCAACTATTTCAAAAGTAGTGCACTTATTTGCAGACCGCAACCCTGCAAAACCCTAGCATACCAAACTTAACTCATCCCTAACATATCTATTTCTAACCTAACCCTAACCCTACCCAATGTAATCCAATCAAACTATTCCTAACCTAACTCTGAATTGTCATTGGAAGACGTAATGATGCCTAGTAGCAACTTTAGTTAACCAATACCTTTATAATGCTGTTCTAAAGACCATGCACTTTCCCTAAGTTTTCTATTATAAAGATGATCTGAAAGTCCCATAAACCTTTATATTTTCACCCGATAATCCTCTTACCTATCCTAGGAAAAATTCTCTAGAATATTTCCACCCAAGGACAATACATCCAATCTAACCAGTTTCTTTACTGTTCGAGTGCTTTTCTCGATATGACACAAACCTTCAATAGTGTCTGGCATGTGGGCTTGCTATTGAAGCTCTTCCAAGGAGGAGTTTTCCAATCCCCTACTTCAACCTCTGCTTCTTTGAGATCAGCCAGGTAACATCCTGATAAAACAGGAGTGCCACAGGGTAGTATCCTAGGTCCCATCCGTTATGATGACTGTCTGTGGTTGCATAAACACCAAAGTGTCACTACTGTTTTAATGATGGTTCTGCCTGCCAGGCAGCAGCTGATGAACTTGCAGCACCCCTGTATGACTACCTTGAATCTCATGACCATCTTGCCCATCAACACCTGTCACTCCATCCAATAGCTCTTCTAAACATCAGCCCTTCTAAGGATCATCAAAATCCCTTTAAACTACTATCCTTCAATAACCTAAAACCATAGCTGAAAAATGGAGTATAAAAATAAATCTTGACAAAACCAACACACAACCTTTCCCTTCTGAGGTGGTGCGATGCCCCTAGTATACATGCAGTGCATTCCCTTAACCTACATTTAACCTACCTTGGACTGTGGGCAAAAGACCATGGAATCTTCATTGACTAAGGACAACTTACCCTGTTTAAATCCTTAATTACATTTAGTAGACTGTCCTTCTCACACTGGAGATTGGCTATTATTTGGAGGTTGTTGGCTATTTTGTCTTCTAATCTGTAAGTATAAAAAAATTAAGTCATTTTTAAAATAAGAAAAAAGTTACTTACAAATTGCTGCGCTTCATTATAAGCCCATTTTCACTTGAGAGCTTAATGTTTATTTCTTCCTGTTTGGATAACTTTATTTCATAGTTGGCCCTGATCTCATTGATCTCTTTGTCGCAATCATTTTCAATCTGTTCTTTCATGCTCGTATGGGCAGCTTTTAACTCATATATTTTGCTCTTCATCTAAACAAAAACATAAGCTCACTCCAAATTCTAAAATTTATTCTAATGACACTTACTTCATAAATCTCTTTGATTTTATCTAATATAATCCTGTTTTTTCGACTCGCTAGCATTTCCATTGCTTCTTGTGATGATTTCTCCAACAATTGTAGTTTACTGATGAAAATGAGGTGAAAATAAAAAATAAAATAAGTGTCAAACTTGGCCCTACAAGTTGATAGAAGTTTAATAATTACCTCCAATAGTCTTTCATAAACTTTTTAGTCGCCATTAGCATATTTTGACTCCTGTTGGACTCTTCTGCTACTTTAGCACCATAGACCTTCTCAAGTTCATCTAAATCATTGGCGAATTTTTGGTTATTCAAAGTGATGACAGAGTTGCATTCGCCGATTTCTTTTAAATGGGATTTTTCAAGTAACTAAACACAAAAGTATGTTTCCTTTATATGCCTTGCATGCATGGGCTGTAGAAACATTCAAACAATGTTATAAAATAGAGGATGAAAATGGAAAAGAACGAAAGTAAACCAGTTGCGTGATCATTTTTGTGGGTTGAGTTAGGTTAGTTAGGAAATGGTAAGGTTAGGCAGGGTTATGTTGGGTTTGGAACGTGTTGGGTAGGTATGGTTAGGTAAAAAGAGGAACCACTTTACGACTGAGCATCACGACTAATATTGGCCTATCACACAATCCCCATCATTGTTTAAAGCACTTCGCGTTAAGTTTACGGCTTTTTATCAGATCCCAAAGCTGTCCTTCAGGCCTTGGCTTTTTATTTTTTTCTCCTTTCTGGCAATATTGGCTTGCTTCCTCTTCTCTTAGTCTATTTGCCTCTGAAACCTGCAGTGTTCATTTAACTGTCCTCTATTCTAGTCCTAGAATGTCCTAGGTTTACTTAGGTTCTTTGGTGTTCCTATTATGCACCTTTTTGCATGCATGTCCTGAAACACAGTCCCATTGAACTGAGGGCTAATTGTGGATTATGTTTTTGACTAGTTTGTATGATGCAAAAGAGTTCAGGGCTGTTAGGTATCCTCATTGATCTTTTCTTGATCAATTAATTAACCATTCCCTGACCTACATATCATGCTACTCAAACAGGGGTTGTTTAGCAGTTTTCCTCAATGTTTGACAGGGCCTACAAGTCAGTAGTCCTTTAGTGTCACTTGTCCGAGCAATACTATTTTTTTTATGTTATCCTCAGCCTTTTGGTTTTCCTGGAGCAGTGTTCATTAGACAAATGAATTTTAGTCCTTTTCTTATTTCCACAGACCAGCACCTGACCTATACTAGTCTTAGACATCTGTATATCAGATATATTTGGAATCCCTTTCTCCCAGTGACTGTCATGGGGTCATTTGAAGGGAGACTATTGAAACCTGTTCTTGTATTTGGCTGTGAATTGTGGTTATATCATCTATGAAAGTATGTAGTGGAAGTAAATTCAAGAGGATTCTAGAAGAGTAGTGGGAGTCATTTTCATTGCTCCTGTAATGTCCAGGCATGCCAATCCTCTGGGTAGTACTGAGGATCTTGACCCTTGTAATGTAGTGGGATTAAGGTCGAATTAATTAGGGTATTTAAGGTTAGGTTTAAGTTTTAACAATTCGATTATTAATTATTGCATTTGATTACCTTTATTTTGTTTTGAAGGTCGGTTATTGTTGTACTGTAGTTGCGATGAATTTCTTTAAGCCCGATTTCATGGGTGGCGACAACTTGTCTCATGATGTACTCATTTTCTTCGTCTATCTCGTCCAGTCTCGTTTTCATACCTTGTAGTTTTTTTTTGTTTTCCTTCCATTCTTCTAAATTGACCATGATTTCCGTCAAAAATTTGTAGTCGTCCTGTTTTACGTCAGATTGATCTGGGTGGACAATTTCCCACATGCACAAGGCTCCATCTTCGCTTATCGATAATAGGGTGATTTCACGATGAGTAACGATCACCTAGAATTAAATTTTAAATATTAGCCGGGTTTAAACTGTTTAAAATTTACATTTTGAGTATTTTTTATGTACTCGTTTAACATGTCAACTTGACATTCTTTCTCGGCTTTTTTCCTACTGACCAGCGGTAGTAGTACAGATCTGTTTTAGGCTGCACCAAGGCTCTGTCAGACATTGGGGAAAACAGCTAAATCACACCTGTTTGGATACCAGGTCATACGGGGCAGAAGTGCAATGAGGAATGTGTTTTGTGGGGACTTAGTTGATAGCTTAATGATAAACTTAATCATGGTACATCTAATGAATGTACATGATGACTCCTGCTCCTCAAGTAGGTCCACCCACTGTTGGTGCGAAGGCATATGCAGACTGAGAGTCCTACTCCTGGAAGAGGACAAACCTAGACCTAGAACATGAGAGGATCATCTATCGGATTAAATAAAAACTCTTAGGCTTAGCAAAGAGCTTTATTCACTGATAGAGATCGCACAATAGACCAATATTGGACGTGGTGCGCTAAGTCGTAATTAGGTTGTCTCCTTTTAACCTAAAAACATTTAACCTAGTTAGCTCTTGATCTTTCACACTCGACTACGAATGTGTTGTGAACGAGGTTTTACTTGGGAGTTAGTTGATAATCTCTAACAAATTGTACGTTATGTTATCCGCTTTCCTAGGAGGTCCCACATGACAAATCTGTTCACGTGGAGTATTACTACCTACCTCAGGTAATTAATATTCCTTGGACTTCTTCCTGTATCGGATATCTTCCCATTCCGCAACTACATATGATCATAATATTTTAACCTAACCCTACCTCTTCTTACTATCTTATGTATTCCATGATGTAGACAAAATAGAAAAGTTCTAACGATTTTAGTGACTGGGGGCTTTTTTGGTGGCCCTGAGAAGGGCGGGTGTTATTTTGTAGCGTTGAGACGATGAATCGAGGCCGGGACTGTGTATGTGTGTGATGTTGGTAGTTATCCGTGAGTCGGTTGACTCTGCAGCAGTTGGCCAGTAGCGAAGTAGGCTGTATCGAGAAGGCCTTGCTGTCGTTATCGGTGCTTTATTACTGATTGGCTAGAGCTCGTCGATTGATGAGTTTCGTGGTGTGAATTGAGACCTCATCGGGGTGACGAGTCTGAAGTCAGTGGGGCAGTGCCCTTGCTTATTTACAAAATCGCTCTACTCTGGTTGGCTGCAGAGTGGCGGGCGAGTCCATTCCAGAACCAATGGTGATACCTAGCGGGTTCCGTGGTAACTGAAGGTGGCCACCACACTACTAAAAATAGGACGTGTTACGACTAGAATGACAGCAGGACTGCTGACTGGACATTGCAAACTTGGAGCAGCAGAGTCAAGCCGGTTAAGATATCGCCAGAAAAAAGAAACAACCGATGTACTCCGTTGTGAAACTTATATAGGCTGAGATTCCTACTTCTCGGAAGAGAGAGCTAGTTTACTTGCAAAAGAGGTCTAGAAATATCCTAGTGCTCTTGGAGGAAAGTAGAAAACATTGTGAGACTGCACGTTAAGACACAAAAAGGAACATGAATGTTACGAAATTTTATTAAAATAATTACCTTTTTGACAGGACTCGTGTGCATTATGTACTCTTCGCAATAGATTTTCGTCGAAATTGGATAAGCAATTGAAAGTACGGCGCCATTTTCACCAGCGACGAACATCATGTCGTTGGAATTCGCAAGGGCTACTGTATATAATGACCACTGATGCAAGTTGAAACTCCTTTCTACCTTTGATGCATGTAAAGAAAGATTTTAAATTATTATGTTAGTTTCATTTATTGCAAACATACTTCTCCGTTACACAATTCTTTGAGGGTTCCATCTGTGCCGACTATGTAAACCAAATTTCCATCTTTAGAAGCGGTTATGTCGAAATTTCCATTTTCCCGAGTGAACAGGTCCATGTCGCGTGTACCCTTGTACAAATCCCATTTATATACTGATCCTTCTTGTCCACAAGAGTACATGTAGAAATCTCCTCTTAAGAATCGTAGGGCACAAATCTGTATCAGATATGAAAATGGAAAAAAGGAAAGTTTTATTCTGGGCCTTAAAGCTTAAAAACATTCCACAATAATAATGAAAATAAACTTAAATAGGGTAGAGGTAATCAAAGTGTTGATGCTCGGTGGATAGAGTGAGGAACGTAGTTGTTTTGGTTGGAGGCACGGATGAGGAAAGCACCACAGAATGCAGTATTTGTGGAAGGTAGAGATCAGAAGATTGACGGGATGGTATGGCAGGATAAAGGAAGAAGCCAAGATGTATTACCTGTGGTAGGAAGGAACCACATTAAATCATAGTCAAGAACCGTTCTCGAGATAGGGGGGATAAGAAAATAAATCTTACAAAACGATTCGTTTCATTTGACGTTCGAGCTTATCATAAAGAGCCCAAGTAAGTCCTTGGTATACAACACATTCGTAGTGGGCGTGAACAACGGAGGCTACATTTAAGGTTTTATGTTAAAAGGAGCTTTCGTTAAGCTTATGGGATTTTACCAGAAAAAACTTCTGCAAAAGAGTTTATAGTTGATAGGTGTCCTGGATGAACTTCACTTGGCCAGTTTATCAGCCTCCTTGTTGCCCCTCTGAATGACGGCTCTGAATGAATGACCCAGTACACAAAAAATGATAGTTGTTTTTCCCGATGTCTGATAGGGCCACGATGCAGTCCCAAACGGCTTGTTTCTGCTGATTCTATTTTATGAGCCTCTGGAGGCTGCAGTGTACTTTCAGAAGTTCTAACGCTTTATAGATTTAGTAGTGCTACCTCAGCGACGGTCCCTTTATGAACTATTTTGCATACTTGTCCTAGGAGTCTGATTGTTAAGGACTTACTCTTAACCCTTTGTCTGATTGATTTACGCTTTTGGCTGTTTGATATGCCTGATAGATGTCCTGTTTGAACTTCTTGGCTTAAAGGCCTACTTGTTGCCCCTTTGCCCTTTATGACCTGGTAACCAAACAAGAGTGATTTTGTTGATTTCTTCAATGTGATGATTACATTGATTAATTGTAATCCGAACGTTTCTAGACTTCAGTCCCTATTGGGAGATAACTTCTAGGACTTGGAGGTAAGGATTGGAGTATGGAACTGGATCCAAGTTACTAACACATCAACGAAAAAAAAGGAATAGGACCAAAACTAACAAAGTTAGGCGGGCTAGATTATTTTTATTGTTCTACTTACAGGACCGACATGTCCTTTTAAGACATGAAGCTGGAGAAAAGTTATCGCCGAATAGACTTCGATGTAAACGCCGTTCACAGCCCCGAAAAGATGCCCGCCGCATGAAAACTCCACAAGGGGGCAAGCTTTAATATCAGCATGCCTGATTGTTTTCATGTTGTCTATGAATATGACGAGCAATTTCAGTTTGTCCGTGAACCCGATTAAACAGTAAAAACCTGAAATTATCATAGCATCATCCAATAGCAACTAGGAATTGATTTTACGAAAAAATTATATATATATATATATATATATATATACACACATCTTTACCTGTTGGATGCATCGTAGCGCTATATATTTCGTCTTGGAATTCTTTGTGAAATTGCATCTCTCTGGTTTTGTAGTCCCATATGATGGCAGTTCTGTCTACCAGGCCTACAGAGACGAACAAGGTCTTCCAAACTGCCGAAGATACAGTAGCTATAGGTCCTTGATGCATACCATTAAACAACTTATTCAAAGGCACTATTGGCTTCTACAAAAATACATTTTTGTTACACTTAAACATAGAAAACTTATAACAATAAATAAATAAATAAAAGGCTTGTTGATGCCATATGAACAAACTTCTTTCCAGGTATTTAAGTCTTGTAAAGGTCCGTAGAATATTTCATTTCGAAGGGTAGTGCAAAGTAGCGTTTTCTCATCTGGGCTCACTGTTATTTCTTGAACCACGTCTATTAAATTCAAGTCTAAGTTGCCAATTGAGTGCCCTCCAGCAAGATAAGTTCCTCTTTTAAACCATCTGTAATTTTTCTTATCGTTACCAATGATTAACATATTTGACTGGGGTGAATATTTAAAAAAAAATTTACTTTGTGTTGTAGGTTGTTTTTTCAACCTTTTCGAAAACGATCACCGATCCGACCGAGCAGGAGTATGCAAATCCATAACCATAGGCTGTCAAAGCTCTCACTTCATGGGCTCCACTTAAGTCATGTTTTGTAAGGTCAATTGCTTCGGTAATTTGCTTTGTTTCAAACCTGCAAGTACATTAGTTGTTTTTTTCTCAACCCAATAGGGTATGATTTGACAATTGAAACCGTTAGAAAAAGAACATGCTAAATATTAATGAAAGCATTGACCAAGCCCAAGGTTTAATACATTTTTACTGTACGGCACAAACTTCAAACTTTCAGCGTGTTAATATGTATTTGAATTTTATTTAAATATTTTTTAATATCGACTTTAAATCAATCTCACAGTTCTGATTAATTTTTTGATTAACATGGATATGTTTTTGGACTGGTACACGAATTTTTTTGCGTTCCTGTGGAGTTCGCATGAGTTTGGTTAGGGACAGGTTAGGTTATAATATAGGTACGGACTAGTTAGGTTAGTTTAGGCTAGGTTAGGTTGGGTTAAGTTAAGATAGGTTAGGTAACGTGTAGGGTAACGAACAGATTAGGTTAGGGGTAATTTTTTTAATAACTTGTTACTTGGGGGACGCGGTAGTCGAGTGGTTAAGGCATCAGACTCTCCCGCGGCCGTGGGTTCGATTCCCACCGTCACCTCTGTACTTTTTCTGACGCCTACGGGACCGGTAGCCGCAACTGAAAGAAATTTACACATCACTCATTAATGGAAGATCTGGGGCGGAATCGGATCCATGAATTTGGTCCCAGCCCCATTCAAAAATGTGTTTCTTCAATGGAAGGACACCGGCAAACCGGGGGCTTAAATACACACGCGTGTTGCGAGCACCCAGAGAATAGAGCCAGGAATGAAGTACAATAAGCTGTTGTATACAGCTGCAGTGCTCAGGGGAACTCCTCCAATTCCTGGTATCCATTATAAAAAAAAGCTTGTTACTTCACGTACTCTGCTTGGATTTTATATTAGGTAAGATAGATCGAATAATGTAAGAGTAAAAGAGATTTTATTTTATTTTAGATTAATAAAAGTGAGTGGCGATTTGATTTTGATAAGAGCGGGTTAAGTTAAGTTACGCTAGGATAGTTTAGCTTTTCATAAGAGGCAGCGGCAAAGATGAGACAAAGGCGAAACGGGTTTGACTGACATAAAAACCCGCGAGTGTAGACGACCCAATATATACGGTAATATTTGAATCATGCTTTATAATTGGGGTTAAGTTAGGTAAGGGACGGGTGAGATTAGTTTAGGATATGTTACGTTTAGATTTGGGGACGACGTTTCAGGTTATGATTGGATACCTGTTTAGGGTGAGGGATGGGTTAGGTTATAGTTATGGCTAGCTTACGTTTTCGTATTTAAATGTTTTTATAATGTGGGTGGATGAGGTTAAGACTTGTCGAAAATTCTTTTGATTTTTTCAGGTTGTTCGGTCTTATTTTCCTTTTCCAGGGTTAGGGACAGGCTATGTTAGGTTAGGTTGGATGGATCATATTAGGTTAGGTTAAAGTAAAGTTAGCTACGGTAAGGATTACAGCAGGATTAAGTTAGGTAGTTAAGGTTAGCGATGGGTTAGATTGGGTTATGATTGATTGGGTTATGATAGGTTATGTAAGGTCTTATTTTCGTTAGGTTAAGAGGGTTAGGGTAGCGGCGTGCTAGGTTAGATAAGGTTGGGTTGGGTTACGGCTAGGTTATTTTATTTGCTTGATATTTCACTCACTCTTCTTGGATTTTGAGATCGATTTCATTAATTCCCGCAGCCCTGTAAACACCTTTGAGATCACCGTATTCCATCGCCAGCAGCCTTCCGTCTTTCGTTCCAGCTATGGCGTAGATTGAAGAAATCCAACAGACTTTTGTTATTACGACACTCTCAGTTCTTCTGTATCCGTACTGCTGCCAATTATTTTCAACGCAATTCATCATACGGAAAACTTCATTTCCCACGAGGACAATTATGTTTTTGTCCGATGGGTGACAACAGATCTGAACATTTATCAAACGATTATCCCATAATGATACTCTTTGCGACTATTACCTGGTGGATGATGGTTTTGCTTTTCTTCGAAAGCGCCTTCGTGTCGTTGTCTACCACTCCTCTTTCCCAGTCGTAAAAAAGCAGAAGCCAGTCCGGCTCCCCGGCCATGGCGACGAGCGTCTTGTTGTCGCAGGTAAAACATATGTCTGCGAAATAATCTGACGTGCAGCCTTCGATTGGATTGTTGAGTACTTTGATCCGTCTCTTTGTCATCATGCAAAACACCGATATTGTCGGCCTGGCTGATTTTTCTGCCACAGCCAAATGCTTTCTGTAACATATATGTATAAATTCTTTGTTTTAAATATTTCAACGATATATGACGATTCCCACTTACCTATTGGGCGACATGCACATGATTGTGATGGTTTTCCCAGTTTCAGGAAGTCGTATGTAGCTCTGTTGGTTGGTGTTGATGTTATCGACGACGATGACTCGGCCGACAGGATGGATTATCTGTTCGTCGTCAAGAAAGTGTATGTTGCCACGAATCTGGTTAGACAAACCGAAAAACCGTTTAGGTTTCAGTTTATACTTGACTACATCTTTGGCTCGTTTTGGCTTCGACGCCTTTCCCTGGGTCGGCATTTCGATTTCCGCCAAGACGGCGAGACCGCCCGGTAAACAAGAGTTGCCAAGGGAACTACGATCGCAGGACGAACGACGTTGCTATGCCCTTCGAAAAAGGACGATAATGAGGTTCGACCTCCCGTCCTGTAATTAACGATCTTTCATTTTGCGTTTAGTCTATTGACCTCGTGATTTGTTTCCGCCGTTGCGAAATGTTTTAAAATTTGAGCAAACTTTCTAAATAATGAGTTCGCGTGTTTTCCCTTATATTTATAGGCTATCAAACGTGCAGTTTCCTTTTCTGCCTGCCGTCGAGTGGTTCGGAACTCGGTTTTGTTGGTTTACGTCCTCCTGATTATACCGCGTGAGGTTTGTAGGTCGTCTTCAGACGAAGTAATCGGGTCAGAAAATGCAAATAATTAAATTATAATAAAGCTGGTGAAAAGTTTAAAAAAACCTTAAACAAAAGAGAAGAGAGAAGAAAGAATAAAAGAGAGAGAGAGAAACGAGAGAGAGAAACGAGAGAGAGAGAGAGAGAGAGAGAGAGAGAGAGAGAGAGAGAGAGAGAGAGTGATAGAGAGAGAGAGGGCTTGACTTGCTCGGAAAAAATTATATAAACAACCAATAACACAAAGGGAACACGGATCAGCCAATGTTGTGGACCCTGAGAAGGCTGGCATGCCTTGCCCTTGTAGGGGCTTCACAAAAACGATGAGAAAAATAAACTATTCAGTTGTTATTTAATCTTATCAATATATGGCGACAGAATAGGGTTAGGTGTTGTTGTCTGTGTTTAATAACTCCTTCTCGCTTTTCTTCGTAAACAATCAACTTTCACTTTGTTCTAAACCCGTAAGACATGTAAGCATTACAGGTTTAGCCCACCGAAATATTGGATCTGAGCCAAACTGCCCAAAAATTATGCCCTCCCCCCAAAAAAAGTTTTATAAATGTTTACGTTTTAAATGATTGCCCTTAACATGTTCGGATTCGAACATGATTATCAGCAATATATTGTATGTTGTATAACTGACATAAATGATTTATTTATTTTGATCTCCAACATCTCGCACCGGTATGTTGATTTTTCCAAGGTTACATTTTTGAACTTTTATTCAAATGTGGTGTTTACGTTTTTCTACTCTTGCAATTTTTGACTTTATTTACTTTTATTCATTTAGTTATTATTAATGTGATAATTATTGTACTATTTTAAGAAACAATTAACATGGCATTTCGAAAGGTGGCAATATAGCACGTGGTCGTCGTCTTTCTGGAGATGATTTTGGTACTGTTATCCCAATGGTTTTTACATTTTTGGAATTTCGTAATTTGTTCATCTACTTACTTTTTTATCTATTATTAATTTAATTTAAAGTAAAATTAACGTGATATTTGGTAAAGTGGCAATATTTTGCTTAGGTGTCTACTTTCAGGAGGTTATATTTGTTAACTGTTAAACCAATGCTGTTTATATATTTCCAATTTCGCTATTCGCTTTATATTTGTTTTCAGTTTTCTTTAAGCACTATTAATTATTGTACTATATAAGTAAAATTAACATGTCATTTGGTACAGTGGCAGGCAACATTACACTAAGGTGTCAACCTTCTGAAGGTTATTTATAGTGCTATATTTTTTTTCAATTTGTGTCCCTGTTTTTTTATATTTCTGTAGTTATGATTAATTTGTAACTTATTGAACCTATTTAAAGTAAAGTTAATGTGATATTTGGTAAAGCGGCAACATTGCACATGGGTGTCTACTTTCCTGAGGTTACACTTTTGAACTGTTATCTCAATGGCATTTATATTGATATATTTTGTTTCGATTTGTGTTTCTGTTTACTTTTATTTATTTTTTTTTCAATTTGTTAATTTCTGTATTATTTAAAGTAAACAAGATACGCGGTCCTCGAGTGCATTTTTTAATTGTTATCCAAATTTTGTTAGTTTTTTATTTGTGTAATCTACACTTTTTAACCCAAATAGAAAAATAAATTTTGAAATTGGTCAGATAATAAATTTATGTATGTGAGTGGTTTTTGTCAACATTTAGGGAACTGAATCTTTTGCGTAGTGGACTCAGAAGATGAATGGCCAAAATTACAATTTCATTGATTTGCATACGAGATCAAATTTAGACTAAATGTATTCTTAGACCCCCCCCCCCCCCCAATGCGCCACTGTTTCAGTAATAACGCCAAATTGTAGAGAGGCGGTCTATAATTTGATAAACTTAGCGGGACGGCCTCGTTAGTGCTGGGATGAAAGAAGTCTCATTTTGCCCGGTCTGAATAAAAAGCTGGTGTCTTCTCGAGATGAGAGGGTGTCTGGCCTATGACGTCCATCCTCAACGCGCCTACCTTTCAGAAGATCCCTCTATATTATAAAAAAATTCTCTGTAATTTAACAAATAATTTGGAACTCGTCCTTTTATAAGAAATGTGTATAATTTTAATAAAACTCCTTTCTGTGACGACTCAGAAATATATTTTTTAAGCAGTGTAGAAAGATTCAATTTGCTTTTTTGTTGTCTCTTTCGTCTATAGATCTAGGTCGACAGCCTTTTTTGAATTCTGTCTGTGTTATTAACTGTAATCTCTTTCTTTTGTAGGTTTGTTCTTTATTACACGAGGGAGTCAAAGTGTAATTTCTATTTGGCTGTTTGTTTGCCTTGCACGTAAGCTACAGCACAATATCGAAGTTTAGTAGAGACGCTATATTATACTAAGGTGTTGAATTTATGGAGGTTATATTTTTGAACTGTTATCCAAATGGTGTTTGTACGTTGTTAATTTTGTGATTTGTTTGTCTATTCACTTTTTATCTATTATTAATTTGTTGATTATTCTATTATTTTAAGGAAAATTAACGTGCTATTTGCTAAAGTAGCAACATCGCATTAAAGTGTCGAATTTTTGGAGGTTATATTTTTGAACTGTTATCCAAATGGTGTTTTTACGTTGTTAATTTTGTGATTTGTTTGTCTATTCACTTTTTATCTATTATTAATTTGTTGATTATTCTATTATTTGAAGTAAAATTAACGTGGCATTTGCTAAAGTGGCAACTTCACACTAAAGTGTCGAATTTTTGGAGGTTATATTTTTGAACTGTTATCCAAATTGTGTTTGTATGTTTTTAATTTCGTGGTTTGTTTGCCTATTTCCTTTTCAACTATTATTAATTTGTTGATTATTGTATTATTTTAAGTAACATTAACGTGGCATTTGCTAAAGTGGAACATTACACTAAAATTAATAATCTCACTGGCACTCTCAACACGACACGCAAGAATGGCACAATTACACAGAAGACAAACACTTTGAGTGAGTAGAAATACTTTCATTGAATATAATATATTTTGCATTGTATAAATTCACTTTTCCACATCCTAAATGTATTTGTTAAATGTAAACAATGTTTGTAAATCCCAGGCCCGGAAGATGATCTCGATACAGATGGAAACATTGGCACGATAAAGAAAATGTTTTTCTGAAACCTACATCACACCAGACCGCATCTCACGATTTCTGAATAATTATCGATTAACAGTCACTAATCACCACACATTATTACACTAAAATGTCGAAATTCTGGAGGTTACATTTTTGAACTGTTATCCAAACGGTGTTTGTATGTTTTTAATTTCGTGGTTTGTTTGCCTATTTCCTTTTCAACTATTATTAATTTGTTGATTATTGTATTATTTTAAGTAAAATTAATGTGGCATTTGCTAAAGTGGCTATTAAGGTGTTGACTTTTTGGAGGTTATATTTTTGAAATGTTTTGCCAATGCTGTTAATATTTTTCTAATTCCGCTGTTGGCTTCTTATTTACTTTTACTTTCCTTTAGAGATTATTAATTCGTTAATTATTGTACTATTTAAAGGAAAATATACAGACAGTTGTAATTACAGTATAAAAGTGTACAATTTATTTGCTCGTGGGTAGTTTTTGATTTTTTAAATTTCACAATTTCTTTACCGGTTCCATCTACAAAATACAAAAAAAAAACATTTTAGTATGTTGAACGGTTTAGGAGAAAAATGTAAGGGTAGTTTTTGACACACAATTTAAATAAAGTATTTATCTCAACCAATACCTTACATAAAGATTAATTAATTGAAAGATGTTATTTGGTCAATCGGACCACGAAATCTTATGAATATAAATAAAAGAAGAAAGGGAAAAGCGTAAAAATGGCGCATGTTCATCAAAGCAAGATACACCAGAATTTGAACAACTTATAAAACACGGAATTTCATGAGACTTGGTTCACTCTTTGCAGAAAGGGTTGTAGTTAAGTAGCAAATATGATATAAAATGAGAAATACAGTTTCTGGTCGTAAAAACGCTCCCTATTCCCTTAATAAACCATTAAGTAGCGATTTTCTGAGCAAACTAGAATTTTTCCCTTTGCAGCCCAATTTTTCTTTATAAAAACTTGAAAATCGTTTGTTATTACAGTCGGAAGTCCATGCTATTGTTAGCAGATTGATTTTTGACACATCCTATACAGAAAAGACGAGAGGGAATAGCATAAGGGATGGCGCAAGTTCATCAAAGGAAGGTTCAAAAGACCATATGATTCTCAACTTAAAAAAAAATATTCGAACCACTTTTAAACTACATATTGGTAAAATTCATTCTATGCATAAATGATTGCGTAAAGTTTAATAAGAATGGTCGATATCCCCTTTATAAATCATTAAGAAGCGATTTTCTGATCAAGCTGGTTTTTTTTCTTTTGCAGCATAATTTTCCATCATTAAAACGTTACGAATCGATTCTCCTAGCAGTAGTGTCCATTCTATTGTTAGAAGGGTGATTTTTGACACATAATATATTAAAAGGTGAGAGGGAATAGCGTAAGGACGGCGCAAGTTCATCAAATCAAGATTTAAAAGATCACATGAT